AAAGAAGAATATGGCATTAGGATCAGAGGAAGACTCATTCGTAACCTTCATTAAGCAAATAACCCATCCTTCCTTCCTGAAAGTGAAGAAGGCTGGAAACACTTGCTGCAGAAGATCAGCCTTTAATAAGGATTATATCTCAATACCAAGGAAACAAAAGTTCTCACCACTGGACTGAAAGGCATCATCATGATGGATGGAGAAGAGATTGAAAACTGTCAGCGACTTCATCTTACTTGGATTGATCCACAGTCTGCACCTTTGACACCCAGCAATCAGGAAATCAGGAGACATATTACATTAGGAAAGTCTGCAGTCAGAGACCTCTCAATGAAGCATTATTGAGGAGCAAAGTTGGAGGGTTACAGTGTGCCTGATTCAGATCATGGTCTTTTCCAGTCACTTCCTATGCTACCGAGAGCTGGATAATGAATAAATATAACAGAATTGTTGGTGCTTTTGAACTCCGGCACTGGGGAAGAGTACTGACTATATCCCATGGACTGCCAAAAGAACAAACAGGTATGTCTTGGGGAAGGTGCAGCCAGACTGCTCCTTAGAGGCAAGGATGGTAAAGCTTCGTCTCACCTACTTTGGGCATGTTGCTAGGAGAGCCTCTTTCTTGGAGAAGAATATCACTCTTGTGAAGGTAGAGGCATTGTAAAACAGAAGACCTTCAACCAAATGGACTGACACAGTGACTGCAGCAGTGGGCTCAACTGTGTCACTGATTGTACAGACAACACAGGGTAGGACAGGGTTCAGATTTGTTGTTCATAGGTTCACTGTGAGTCATATTCAGTGGCACCAGACAACAGACCAATACGTATTATCACGATAAATGGAGAACAGATTGAAATTGTCAAGGTTTTCGTTTTACTTGGATCCACAATCAACACCCATGATAGCAGTAGTCATTGTGCTAGTAAGGACATCATGAAAGTGTCACTGAAAGGATGTCACTATAAAGACATATGGGCGAGCTCTGGTAGCGTAGTGGCAAGAAGCTGCATTGCAATCCCAGAGGTACGTGGTTCAAATCCACCAGATGCTCTGCTGGAGAAGGAGGGACGACCTCCTCCTATACCAGTCAGATCCGATTTGAAGGTACACACACACACACCAAAATTAATAAATAAATGAATATTTAAAAATTAATAATTAAAAAAGACCAATATATGCCCAACCCAAGACATAGTATGCATTTGCTTCATATGTGTTGGACACTGAATAAAGAAAATTGAAGAAGGATTGATGTTGATGAAGAGTATTAAATATGACATGCTGTTGTTGTTTTGTACCATCAATTGGAATCAACTCAAAGCTGATCATCCAGGGAGGTTTTCAGAGGAGATAAATTGCACGAGAGGAGATTGCCCATCTTTCTCCCATGGAGCAGCTTGTGGATTCGAACTGCATGTCTTTAGATTGGCGATGCCTTTTTTTCTTTTTTTTTTTTTTTGTTGGCAATGCCTTTTTTACTACTAAAACACCAGATGGCCAAAAGAACAAAATATCGGGGTGGGGGAGGGAGTGGAGAGGATTGTAGAGAGTGCCCCTTACAAGCGAGGAGAGTGAGATTCCGTCTTGCTTACTTTGGGCATGCTGTCAGGACATGCCAGTCCCTAGAAAAGGACATCATACTTGAAAAGTAAATTGTCAGCAGCGGGAAGGAAAATTCTCAATGGAGTGGATTGACACAGTAGTCTAAGCTTAGCATTGGGAGGATGGAGCAGAACCAAGCATAGCTTCCTTCTGTACATAGGATCACTGAGAGTCAGCACCAACTGAATAACACCGAACAGCAACATGACACAATCCCAGAAGACTGAAAATATTCATAATGGGACTACACAAAGGAGACGAACTGTTTGAAATAATAGTAGCTGAGAATTTTCAAATCTGGGACTCTTCAAGAATACCAAGAATTCAATATGGTGGTGGTGTTAGGTGCCATCTAGCCAAAGTACACCTCATAGTGACCCTGTGTACAACAGATCGGACCCGGTCCTATCCTGCACCGTCCTCATTGTCTCTGACACACTTGCACTCATTGCTGCTGTCATTGCTGCAGTCACTGTGTCAATCTGTCTCGATGAGGGTTGTCCTTTTTTTTGCAGACCCTCCACCTTTCCAAGCAGATGTCTCCTTCCAAGAAATAGTCTCTTCTAGCAATATGCCCAGAGCATGTGAGATGAAACTTTATCGACTTTGTGGAGCATTCTGGCTCCACTTTCTCCAAGGTACACCTGTTTGTTCTTTTGGCACGCCATGGAATTCGGGTCATTTGATCAGGGTTGCTATGAGTTTTACACAACTTGACAGCACACAGTAACAACAACATGTACATAATTGAGTATTCTGGGATTCCCATTCTTTTCGATATTAGCCATAGTTTGCTACAATCCACATAAGCCTCTTTGCATAGTCTCAATTTGCTTAATTTACATGTAGACATACCCTATTCAAACTACAGAAAATCAAAGACAAAAATCTTGGAAGAAGGTAGAAACAAAGAAAGAGAACACCTTATCTATAAACAGACGAAGTTGAGAATTGCATCAGACTTCTCTTCTTGAACTATGCAAGCAAGGTGAGTAAAATGAAGCTTTTGAAATATGGAAAGGAAAAAAAAAAACACCAACCTAGAATTCTGTATAAAGATGAAGCAATGTGTTGCAACTCAACCTGCCTTTCAAGAAACATTAGCAGACCTTCCTCTGAGAGAAAGAAAATTATATAGTAAGAAAATCAGATTTTATAAAGAAAGAAACAATCTCATTAAGGAAGAAGAAAGTTCATTGAAGAAATGAGATGAAATAAAATCTTTTTTCTGATTTTTATTAGGCAAATATCAAGTTGTGGGGGTTTTTTTGTTTGCTTGTTTTTTTTAAAAAGCAGCAACCTATTTAGTGTTTATAAGTTATGGATAATTAATATTAATGACACCAATATTATGCATGGGAGGTAGGAATTGGTAATATTCTATTATAAAGTACTTATAATTGTCATGAGATAGATAGTGTTATTTACAGGTAGTCTTAACTTTGTAGACGTTGAGTATGAGATTGAAAATTGGATGTTAGCTAGAGGGCGTGCCTAGGACACTAAAATATAGTATTCCTTCATAATAATATTATCAATAATTCTTTCCATAGTATTTGCCTTCTTGTCAGATAATTTACAGTTGTAAGTGGATGGCTTTTATGTTAGAGAATTGTTATCCTGTCTAAATTTGGATCCACGGCCAACATGTTATCCTTTGCACTTTCAATATGATGAGATCTTTCTGAGAGTTCCTCTACTGTAAATTTCCTTTTTGAAAAAAAATAAAGTCACTTCCTCAGAAATGGTCATCCCTTCCATCACAGTCATTGCTTTGATAAGCTCACCTTCACGCAGCTCCACTGATTCAAGAGTCTCCACAACTGTTGTGGTTTCCAACACTTGCCGTTTCTTCTATTTATGTTCAGTTTGAATTTCTCCTCCACCAGTGCCATGTTTTGTGATGTCATTTGCTGTGTTTTCATCTTCATTAGCCAGTTCTCTCCTTTCATTATCCCTTTTTATCAAATGTCAAATGAGTTTGTCACTGGTTGACAGGAAAGTAACACTCTTTTTTAAATGTGTGGGTTTGAGTGTGTGAAATAACAGGTGTACAATGGCCAATCATTGGGGTCTCTGGGGGCCTAGTGGCAAAAATCCTGAAGGCAAGCAGCCACCAGCTGCTCTGCAGAAGAGGGATGGACAGTCTCCCGCTGTGCGATTAACTGCCTCTGAAAACCCAGCGGAGGGTCAGCTACAAGGACCAATCATGAACAGACTTTTGAGTAAATGTGATTGATCCCTCATCATGGGCATCCATTATATTGTAGTGATTTGTAGGCTGAAGAGCTAGTACTGAAGTTTATATGATGTAATCACTAATAGAATACTGTGGTAAGTGAAATTTGTATTACATTATTTGGGAAGTGGTAATAGTTGTAGCTTCCCCTTGCTATCCCAAAGTGAAGCATTCCTATGAGAACTTTTATAAGCTGACATGATATGAAGGAAGAAAACAGGAACATAAATTTATATGAGAGTAAAATTATTAGCTTTCCTCGATTGACAAAATAACCTACCCACTTACACAAAATAACACATAAAATCTAAAAGAGCATGAACATACAGTGTTTACAGACACAATTCAAAACTCTGGCAACTTGATACTGAATTTAGTTTCCAGGAAGGAGCTTGGTGATGCTACTTTCTCTACTTGGGGTGTAGAGTGGTGGTGGTAATAATTTACAGTAAAATATTTCAAATAATTCTTTTTTCCTGTGTATCACTTTCCTTTTTAACAATTTGACATCAGTAACATTTTTATCCTTATGCCTGTGGATTGATTGTAAGATTAATTTAATTGCAATTTGCTCTTGTTATTTTACTAAGATGATGGAAATAAGAAATAAAGTATTCAAGTACTAAAGTAAATAAGGAATGAATGAGAATGATTATATGAAATACAATGTGAATGAAGAATAGTGTGAAACACAATGTATACAAACTTTGTAAGAAGAAAAAAAAGAGAGGGGGGAATAGAGTAAATAAGGGTAGCCTAGCAGTAAGGAGTTGCACTGCAAACTCAAAGATAGCTGGTTCAAATCCACCAGCTGCTCCATGAGAAGATGAACAGGGCCCTCCTACATAGTTAACTGCCTCTGAAGAAGTGAATCTTATGTCATTGTCTCTTAATCCAACAAATGATAACATTTAGGTAACCCATCTCCAAAATTGTTAACTATTAATTTATTAAAATGTTGCTTTCTGATTCATATCACATTTTATTTTAGTATAGGGAATAGAAATAATATTTTGTCCCTTTTAAAATTTCACTACAAAAACTTTGCAGAGGAGGTTCTTTTTTAAGAGAAAGCTGTAGGGGGTAACAGTGGTATAGTATTTTGAATAACAATTTGTTGAAAATTCCCTAAATTTTAATGAAACTGTTTCTTTAGCTTGACAGGGCCAACTCACTGTTAAATCAAACACAGCAGCCGTATAGATACCTGATTGAGTCAGTGCGCCAGAAAGATTCCAAGATTGACTCATTAAAGGAGTGTATTGCACAACTTGAAAAAGATGTCAGGTGAGCCAAGTATGCATCTTTTATTTGAATAGTAATGGTATCTTAAATATATGTTGCTATTGATGTATTGAAGTTGTAAATTGTGAAGAAAAAAAAAAGTAATGCTGGTTCTCTTTAGAAAAACTAGGTCATATGTCAGGTGTTCACATTCCTCCTATGATCAGAATTCTTACCATGGAAATAACAGAGCTACTCTTAGTAACACTCCACCCTGCCTAGGGGGCAGAGCAGAAATCTTTCCTTTATTCTCCTGGAATTCTTTAGGAGAAATGTAAGTGGCCTAAGGAAGGGAACTTGAATTTGTGGGGTCAAAATGACTTTTTAAACTAGCAAAGTATACATTTTTACTTTAAATTCGTGTTAACTTTGCTAAGGAATTTTTAGTATTTTTGCTTCTAGTTGAATTTTTTTTTTTTAATTGTGGTAAAAGAAGAGAAAACTCTACTAATGGAGTTCATAGGGACTTGTGCTGCTAATTGAATCCACTGTCAGCCCAGAGGGTGAAAGGTGGCCCACGCCTCCTGAGGAGCAGCTGGTGGATTGAAAGCTCATGCTTTTTGGATTGCAGCTTCTTACAACTAGGCCACCTAGTCAAGTAGAGGAACTAAATTTTCATTTCATTGTGATTGTCTTTTAGGACTGATTTTCATGGCATTAGATGATGCAGCCCGTCCCTTTCGTCTATGAAATGGGAGTGGTGATATCAGCATCTAATCCATATAGGTGTTTAAGTATTGAATGCTATAATACTTGTAAGGTTGTACAATGCTTGAAATGTTAGCTAGATTTGATAAAAGTTTGCTGTTACTAGAGTTTATCATACATTCAACTTATTTGCATTGAGAGATCTCTTTTAAATGACAAAATTTTTCTCCAAATAGGGTCAGTCTGGTTAACACTTGGGCCCTGGTGGCCTAGTCCGTGGGGAGTTGCACTGCTAACCCAAAGGCTGCCCTTCCCTGGGGGTTCAAAGCCATCAGCGGCTCCTTTGGAGAAAATGAGCATTCCAGCTCACCTGCAGCTTACAGTCTCAGAAACCCACCTCAGGATCATCTGGGAGTTGGTCCCGATTCAGCAGCAGTGAGGTGTTTTGTTTGGGATAAAGCTTAGAGCTTCCTTACTAATAGCAACGATAATCGTAAAAGCTGTGGTCATCATGGATTTAGCTCCTAACTTTTTTTTTCCCATTTAGCATCTGATCTTTACAACTGTCTGTTTCATAAATTTATTATCAATATTTTAGTAGATTCTGAATTGAGTTTCTCATCTTGTGAAATCTTATTCCTTAAAGAGTAACATTTCTATTGCGAGGAGCCCTGGTGACACAGTGATTAAACACGGAGCTGCTGATTAAAAGGCCAGCAGTTCAAACCCAGTAGCCGCTCAATGGGAGATCATACCTGATGATCTGCTCCTATGAAGAGCACAGCCTCAGGAACACTAGGAGGCACTTCCGCTCTGTCCACAGGGTCACTAAGAGTCAGAACTGACTCATCACACTCAAACAACCACCTTCTAATGTGAAAAATTAAAATGCTCTCAGTTTAATTATAGCCTCTGAAATGCTGCTATAGAGGTGCTTAGGTTACCTTGGAAATGATGTGAAATGATGATGCCATAAAAAAGTCAGCCCAACCATGTCAGATACAACTAGATAAGTCACAGTCCTGTGTCCTTCCCCTTCCTCTGAGCGAACGACATTTCAAACTCCATAGTCAGCCTTCTGGAGATACAGAGGCTTCTTATCCTAGGATTTGAAAACATGTCAACCTTGGCTCATAGTAAAGTGTTTGTAAAATGTGTTCCAATGAGATATTAAGGGATAATTTTGAAAACAAAATGAAGCATTATCCTTGTGGCATGCAGGAAAAGCTCACTTCTTAATAATTCAGAATTTTTAAATTAGATGGTCCATTCAAAAAATTTTTCTAACTTGCTACTTGAAAATTCATCTTCCTTTTGTTGGATGTTTAATTTTAAGGAGTATTTACATTAAATATTAAAATGTAACTTTCACTTACCTTTTCAAAACCCTTAAGAACTGAATATTTTTGTTATCTTGGGAAATTAAACAATATAACTCTCCCACACCCACCATTCAAAATTACAGTGAGTGTCTAGCAAACTGCAGTAAACATGTGCTAAGATGAAATCATCATAAACATTTTAAAGGTAACTTTCGAGATATCACTGTTCAAGTTCCCCTCTCATTAAAGTACAGCCACCAGAGACCGTCTCAATAACATAATTTCATCAGAAGTTCAAAACTGATTGAAAGTAGCATAGAAAGAAAATAATTAGCATAAATTTTCCTGTGTTCCTGTCATTTCTTCATTTATTCTTAACTAGTAGTTAAAGAAGAATAGGCTGCATTGTCAGCTTCTCCTGACAAGCTGAGCCAGGGCATATTGATTCAGGAAGTTAGGAGCAATATATCAGGAATATGTTTTCATGTAGCAGGTGAAATAGAGCCATAAACATGAGTTTCTGAGTAATAATTAACAGTAAATGGAACAATTATGAGTGTAATATACCATCCAAGGTACTTGTGCTTATAAGGAGATTTGTTTTGTAGTGGCTTTATGAGTCACGCATAGAAGCTTTGTATTTTTTAAAGGTAAATTTCCAGCATTATGAAATGTCTTACAAAGACTAACCTTGTACTGAGTAGTAATTTTATACATGCTGGAGGACACTAATATAGCCATTAGAATATTCAGTTTCTCAGACCCACGTGTTGAAGATGGTCTCTTTTGTGAGTTAAGAATATTTTACTAGGATTTTTAAGAGAAGAACAAGACTTTGAAAACACATGCTATTGATAACAGTGATAGAAATATACAAACTGATGATACATATATCAATGGATTCCATACAGATGACACAAGACAGTAATTGACAGAACAACTCTGTCCCGTGAATTATTTTACAACTACAACAGAGTTGTTCTGTCAATAAAGCTTCTTCTTTATTCTACCCTTTATTCCATATTACACAGTTTTGGTTTTTTTACTTAAATATAAAATAGTTTCTTCTTGGAGAAATTAAAACTACATGTAAAGTCCATGTAAGGAGTTATCCAATCAAAATATTTTTCTTCGCTTTAGCATTCCATCCCTATTATACTATATTTTACTTAAAAAGCTTATCGGTTATTGAGGATGTGTTCATATGTAGGTTAATGTACTGCATGTGAGCATAGACAGTAGATGTCACAATAATTCATTGTCATTGAGTCAGAACTAACTCAGAGCTGACTGACCCCCCCAGCAGGTTTTCAGAGCAGTAAATCACACTAGTGGGGACTGCCCCTCCTCAAAGCAGCTTATTGAGTCAAACAGGCCATCTTTGGGCCACCACTAGGCTACCAGAGCTCCCTTCAGTACATGTGGGTAACTGTAATCACATATATGTTCCTTAAAAATCCCTTTTCCATACTAGGTGTTTATTTTAATTGTGAAAGACCATTTATCTTAAAAAGACCCCAGCTAAAGATGGATTAGAAGTCCCAAGAATCACGTGATTCCTACCATGTTTGGGGTGACCCCTACAAAACATGGCCCTCAGTTTTTTTTCTATAACATTTAGTTCTTTTCAACTCCTCAGCTCAGTAGGATTTCTGGCGCCTGACTCCATGTCAATTTGTTTTTCTGCTGAGCTGCTTACATTTATTGGCATTTAATTACTGTTTTCCTGTCATGCCTGTTTTTCATCTAAGTTACTAATACTGCATAGCATTTATATAGGTAGGGTTTTATGTGTTCAGTGCTTTATATAATCATTCACTAGATAATTCGCATATCCCTTTGACATACATTAATATTGTTTCCCACTTTTACAGTTGTGAATACTGAGGTTTGGGTTAGGGTGATGAGTGTTGAGTCAGTGGCACAGTTGGAAACAAATCAGAAGTACAGCTGGTCTTTGTTCTCAGAGGACAGTCTTGGATGATTCCTGAGGAAGCTGTAAGTTATTCACAAGAAGGGGAGTGTAGATTTTTTTTTTTTTCTTTCTTTTTAAATCCTGGAATTAATCCATTTTTGCAGAAACACAACTTTCCCTGATTTTTTTTTTTTTTTTTCGTAATTGTCCTAACATTTTAAAAACTGAGAACACTGGTCTCTTCACTTGGAGCAAAAGAGGAAGAAAGCAAGTCAGGAACAGGAGGCAGAGATGAAACTTGTGGTTCTTGCCACTGTGACCAATTGCCATGGAACTAGAAGAACTAGATGGGGCCTGTCTGTCATCACCAGATGATTCTGTAGATTCACAGATTCTGTAGAAAATTCCTGATTAGGAGAAAAAACATAGAACAGAATTTCAGGTTTCCACAGGATCCAGACATTCTGGAACTAAGGAGCTCAACTCCACTCATTGTCACTGAGTTGGGATGAGCTAACTGTAGCTGACCCTCTTTCCACTGGCCACGTAAGACACGATTCCCCATCTTTCTCCTGTGGAGCTTCTAGTGAGGTCAAACCACCAGAGAAGTGCAGCCTTTGGTTAACACAGCACAGCTCCGTACGGATGTAACTGCCAGAGCACCCTGTGATCCTAGAGCCATGAAGCCTGGATGGACCCCTAAAACTGTCACCCTAGGATCATCTTTAAACCTTAAACCAAAAAGAACTCTGAAGTCTTCTTAAAACCAAACAGTAGTTTATTAGCTCAAGGTGTGCCTTGAGCATTATACTCTTTTAAGCACTATCTTTATGGGATAAAATTGACAACACACACCAACCTGAAAGAGTATATCAGAAATTTTGGAACAGTGTGTTTGAATGAAGAAAAAACCAACTCAAAGAAAGAGGGTAAGATAGTTGTACAACTCCAAGAATGTAGTAAATATCCATGAATTTCATTCCACAGTCAATCCTTTTGGCACCAGCAGTCAGGAAATCAAAAGACTAATTGCACTTGAGAAATCTGCTATCAGGAACCTCTCCAGGTGCTGAAGAGGTGTGATGTCACTCGAGAGACTAAGGTACACCTCATGCAGGCCATGGTCTTCACAATTACTTGCGATGTATCAAAGAACTGGACAGTAATTAATGATGATAGAAGAATCAATGATTTTGGAGTTGTGGTGCTGGAGAAGAGTACTGAACATACCATAGACTGCTAAGAGAACAAGTAGATCTGTCCTGGAGAAGGTAAAACCAGGTTGCTTCGTTGAAGCAAGGATTTTGAAGTTCTATCTCTCAAACTTTGAACATGTTCCAAGGAGGGACCAGACTTTGGAGAGGACATCATGCTTGGAAGGGTGAAGCGACAACACAGAAGAAGATGACCCTGAGTGAGATAGATTGAAACCGTAACTGTGGTAATAGGGGCAGGTGTATTAGAGACGGTGAGATTGGCTCAGGATAGGACAGAATTCAGAGCTATTGTGCATAACATTGTTAAGAGTAACAGGCAACTCAACAGAACTTAACAGTACTTGAATTCTTGTATATATATTGCTGAATATATTCTCAGCAACAATAAAGTAAAATAGTAAAACTCAAGTTTTCCATCTTGTAAAGATTAGCTTAACATGTCTTACTGTTCAACACAAGTTTTTTTTTTATTGTTGTTAGGTGCCATTGAGTCGAGTACAACTCATAGTGACCCCATGAACCACAGATCTGAACCCTGTCCTATCCTGCCCTCCACACCATTTCTGACATACTTGAGCCCATTGCTGCAGTCCCTGTGTCAATCCATCTGTTTGGAGGTCTGCCTTTCCCTCACTGACCTTTCCAAACATGGTATCCTTTTCCAAGAAATAGCCTCTATCAGCAGCATGTCCAAAAGTATGAGAGATGAAGTTTTACCATCTATCTTTGCCTCCAGGGAGCACTCAGCTGCACTTTTCCCATATCTGTCTGTTCTTTTGGCAGTCTATAGGATAGTCCGTATTCTCACAACTCAAAAGCATTAGTTCTTCTTCTGTCATTCTTGTTCTTTGTCCTGGTCCCAGATGCATAGCAAATTATTTAAAAAAAAACCAAAAATCAACTATGGCTTGAATCAGGTACACCAAAGTCTTCAAACTGACATCATTACGCTTCATTGCCCAAAATACATCTCCTGATCTTCTACCTACTGGTACCAAGGGTTTTTGTTGTGGGTCCAAGTAAGACGAAATCATTGACAGTTTCAATCTTTGCTCAGTTTATCATGATGTTGCCTATTGGAGGATTGGTTGTTGTTGTATTTGTTATGTGTCATTGAGTTGCCTGCAACTCATAGCAATCCTATGTACAAAAGCTCTGACCCCTGCTTTATCTTGAGCCAGTTTCATTGTCTCTGACATATCTATCCCCAGAACCCCGGTAACTGAGTCAGTCCATCTCATCTAAGGTCTTCCTCTCTTGGGCTGTCCCTCTACCCCTGCAAGCATGATATCCTTTTCTAAGGACTGGTCCCCTCCTGGTAACATGCCCAAAGTGTGTGAGATGGAGCTTCAAAATCCTTGCCTCCATGGAGCACCCTGGTTTCACCCTCTCAAAGACAGACCTGCCTGTTTCTTCTCTTAGAAGTCCGTAGTATGTACAGTACTCTTCTCCAGCACCATAACTCAAAGGCATCAATTCTTAGTCTCTCATCCTTAGTAATTGTTCAGCTCTCTGATGCATAGCAAGTAACTACAAAGACCATGGGTTGGATCAGGTGCTCCTTAGTCTCCAGACTAACATCATTGCTGTTTGGTACTCTTTAGAGGTCCCTGAGAGTATATTTTCCCAATGCAATTTATCTTTTTCTTTCTTTGCTACTCATACAAAGAATACTGGTTTTAGACACAAGAAAGCTGAAACTTGCTCAGTCTCTTCTCCATCTATCATGATACTACCCGTTGGCCCAGTGGTGAGAATCTTTGTTTTCTTGATGTTGAGCTTCATTCCATATTGAAGACTGCAGTCCTTGACTTCCTGAAGCAAATGCCTCAGGTCCTCCTCAGTTTCAGCAAGCAAGGAAGTATCATCTGCATAACACTGATTATTGATGAGTCTTCCTCCAATCCTGATACCACATTTCTTCTCATAAAGTAAGGACCTTTGTTTTCCTGATGTTACGATGTAATCTATACCTAAAGCTTAGTCCTTGATCTTTGCCACAAACATTTCAAGACCTGCTCACATTCAGACAAAGTTGTGTTATCTACTTAGCTCTGGTTGTTGATGAATCTTCCTCCAATTCTGATGTTGCATTTCTCTTCAAAGAGTCCAGCATCGCAGGGTAAACTGATAGAACCCTGACACACACCTTTCTTGATATTAAACCATGCAGTAATCTCTTGTTCATTTCAGACAACAGCTTCTTCGGCTAGGTATAGATTTTGTATGAGTCAAATTAAGTGTTCTGTGATGCTGTTTCTTCTTAGTGTTAGCCATAGTTTGTTATGATCCACAGAGTCAAATGCCTTTATGTAGTCAATAAAACACACACAGGCATTCTTTTGGTATTCTCTGCTTTTAGCCAAGATCCTGGCTGTAAAAGGAGCAAGAGCCACATAGGAACAGCCATCCCTGACCTTTACCAACTTCACAAAGGGGAGCTGTCTTGTCCACTGCATCATTGGTAACACCAAACCAATTCTCATGGGGTCAGATGTGTCCCCCACAGTTTCATATCTCTTTATACTCATCTCAACACCAGTCTTACTGCTTTGCTGCATCCAAAATCCAATGCTCACAGACCACACCAAACCATGTTGGGGAAGTCAAAAGGTTATAATCAATAACAGCGTATAGTCAAGTCAGCTCCCAAAATGTGCACACCTCAGCCTCGAGCCTTATGGCTTTGGCCTGTGTTCCCTAGTTCTCAGTCCTGCTCATACTGGGTTTTTGCCCCCAGTTGTCCAACAGAATTCTCAGTCCTGTCAGTATTGGCCCTTCTCCTCCAGGTCCCACCTCATGGCAGATCTCCAGTTTGCCCATTGGTATTATTGCGGCAGGTGGATCTCAAGCAAGAAGAGCATCTTACATTTTTTTACTTTTTCTTAAGTGGCACCAGAAGACCTGTCTGTCTCTTGCTCTGGCTTGCTCAAATCATTGATGATACTAGCCAATTCCTTTGTAGATTGCTGAAACTGGCCAGTCCCCCTGTGGAATAGTAGTAGATAGCTAATCTCCTTATGGATAGTCTAACATGCCTTATTCACATATTCTTGCCCGCCTACATAGGAAAGTCACCCATTGGCTAGGAAAAGTCATATAGAAAGATAAACTCCACTCTTTATTTCCAATTTCTCTGCTGTATTTTGCCCATATATACTTTTTTTTTTTACAATTTTCCTAAACCCCATCTCATCCTTTTACATTTTAGAAGTAAGCTTTTATTGTTCAAAGACTAATTTTATGCCCAAATAGTCGGGAAATTATTCTGTAGAATTATTTCCATTGCATTGGCAAATGATTGTTACGGAAAAAAAGAAACAAATACCAAGACCATTGAAGCAGCTGCTTACAAAATAGCATTGATTAGGTTCACTATAATAATGTGGTTTTATGCACCATCAGATTAAAACCAACTCATAGCTGACCTTACAGAGGGTTTCAGAGGCCGTAGATAGCACAGGAGGAGGTGGCCTGTTTTTCTCCCACAGAGCGACTGGCTGATTCAAACTACATGCCTTTGGGTTGACAGCACAACTTCTACCTGGTTTCATATCTTTTCATATCTTTATGGACTATAACTTTAACTGAAGCCACCAGATTTATATTTATAGTTTGTTACTTACTAGTTATTAAATTTACACCAATATAATGACTTTTTAAAAACTTTGTTGGTTTGGTCTGTTTTCCAGCAATCTAACTAAAGAAAAATCAGCCTTACTACAGATAAAGAATCAAATGGCATTGGATTTAGAACAGCTCCTAAATCACCGTGAGGTAATTTGACCATTTTCCTGTCATGTTTGTCATTTCTAGGCTTTTTCCAAGTCTACAGTGGATCATAGCGGTCAGTGCCTACTAAGGACTCCTCACCTGTGTGTCTGTGATCTATTCTTTTTGCTCAGCATGTGTGATATTTTAATTCTTAGACTTGGATTGCCTCGTCTTAGGACCCTTGTTCACATCTTGATCATTAACTTTACATGTTATTTAACAATTATCCTTTTTTGTCTCTTTCCCCACTAAACAATAAATTTCTTTAGCATGCTTTTATTATATCCAGCATTATATGTCCCATGACTAGTATATAGTATTTGTGTTTAACTTATTAAAGTTCATAGATTACGGGTTTTTTACATTTTTTCACTTGACTCTCACTAAAAAAATTTCTTGCAAATGTAATTTCTGTTTATAAGAGTTCAGAATAAAGGGGAAAGTAAGTCTTAAGTGATGTGTCCAAGACTAATTAGTAACTAAGAGATAAACTCAGTTTTGCTTTGTATTCTAAGCAAAAGTTATTTATGTATAAATATAGTTAAATTTACCCTTTCTTAGGGATATTTCTATGATTTTTTTTTCTCACCTACATATGTAGTTGCATAGCCACCACCATAATATATAGAATGGCTTCATCACTCAAAAACTTCCAGTCTGTCCCCTTTTTGATCAGTACTTAACAGTCGTTTTGTCATTTGTAGAAAATCATATAAATATCAGTTTATATTCTTTGAAGTCTGGCTTTGTTCGCTCATCTTCATGCACTTCTAATACAGACATGTTGTTACAAACATCAGTCATCTGTCCGCTCTTAACACTGAATAGTATCCCATTGTATGGTTGTGCCAAGTTTGCCTGTTATTACAGCATCTGATGGACACATGGGTACTTGCCAGTCTGGAGCATCTATGAATAAACCTACTGTAAGCATCATGTACAGGTTTCTGTATGAACATAAATTTTTGCTTCTCTTAGGTAAATTGCTAAATTGCATGGTAAGTGCTATGTTTAACTTTACAAGAAACGACAAACTGCCAAGTGACTGTGTCTCTTGCATTCCTGCTAGCAATGAATGAGCGTTTCAGTTACTCTGCATTCTTGCCAGAGGCTGGTATTGTTGGCTGAGTGTTATAATAAAAAACCCTTTTCCGAGTTAATGATACTGACCCCTTTTGGTCATATATTTACTGTTTTGTTACCCGAGAAGAGAAAGATATGCTCAAAATCCAGTGACTAGGACCGTTGTGAAGACATTGTTTCTTAGTGTGGAAGAAGTACACTAGATAGCTGGAGAAATGTTTCTGAAAGGATATTCTTGAGAAATAATTGGGGAATATTAATAGGAGACATGACTATAACAGAAATGGTGTCCTAGCAATTGGAAGATTGTCTCTATATTAGAAATGGCATTTAGAGTTTTCTTACATGTGTCCCATATATGATGTTTGAAAGGGATAATGCCCCAGGACCAGATTTTAGAGATCATTTTAAGCTCAAAGAACCTCGAACTCATTGATGTAGAGTCCGAGCTGACTCATAACAGACCTTCCAGTGAGTTTTCTGAAGCTGTAAATTGCATAGAAGAAGTTTGCCCATCTTTCTCCTGAAGAGCCTCTGGTAGGTTTGAACTGCCAGAGCAATGATGACTTAGGATTAGCAGCACAATTCCCATAGACGCTGCCACCAGAGCGTCCTAGAAATACCTTTCGATTGATAAATACATCTAACGAGTTAATAGAGCTAAGACAAACTTCTTAAAGATAAAATATTACTCCAGACGTTCTTAGCCTTATCAGTACTTCTCTCTATTACTACTCACTACTACTACTATTACTACCACTGTTGTCATTATTGTTGTTGTTGTTATTATTATTATTATTATTATTCTCATCCTGTCTCTGTCCTAGCATTTTACTTTAGTTCTTCACTGTAAAACCCTGATTCGGTCTCTTAATGAATTTTCACAAATGTTTAGAAGTTTAATTTTTATTTTTTTTATATTATTTTTACGTGTACCGTCAAATCAGATCTGACTGGTACAGGAGGAGATTGCCCCCTCCTTCTCCAGCAGAGCATCTGGTGGATTTGAACCGTGTACCTCTGGGATTGCAGTGCAGCATCTTGCCACTAGGCTACCAGAGCTCCCTTAGAAGTTTAATTTTTAAGAATTAGGAACTATAAATGATTATATGATTGTGCTGCTGTTGCATGTCATCAAGTCAGCTGTGACTCAGCAACTCTGTGCCCTCAACGAGATGGATTTTTTTAAAAACCCCAAAAGCTGGTCACTGTGTATTGACACTATGGCTGTATCAGTGAGCATGAGCACAGCACATATGGGAAGCAGGGCAGAATGAGGCATGGATTCATACTTTTGTGTTATAGGATTGCTGTGAGTTGGAGCTAACTTGAGGGAACCTAACAACCTAGAATTGTGTTATTCATAAGCCCCAGTTAAAACTAAGGTTAGGAACAGAGTATATTTTGAAAAAAATGTTTTAAAAACTAGCAGAGTGAAACTACCCAACTTCTGCTTCTCCATGGCATCACTGAAATATGCATAAATGCGTGTCTGCCTTAGCCTATGTTCTCTAGAGAAACAAGCTCAATGAAGCTGAGGAAAAAAAGCAAGAGAGATAAAGACAGAGTGAGATACAGAGAGAGAAAGCGGTATCTCAAGGTGAGGTCTCACATTCTTGTAGAGGCTTATAAGTTTCAGGTTTGTCAGACTCCAAGAGAAAGAGGAATCCAGAGAGGCTAATGAGTCTGACGTTATAGACACACAGCAGGGTCTCGGACTGCTAGCTTCTGAGACTGCCTGCCTCTGAGGCAGAGTAATCCAAAGGTTATTATTGGGGGCCAGGATTGTATACTGCAGCTTCAGTAGTTTATGGGTCCAAAGTCAGCAAGCATGGCAGCAGGTTGTTAGTTCAAGTCTGGAGTTCACAAGCCAGATTGCCAGATGTAAGCTCAGACAAAAAGCTCTCTAGAATTGCTGGAGGCCAAACACGTGCATCTGAAGAGCCAGCCCCCTTCATCAAGTCAGGCTCGTCAGTACAGATCTGCCCTAATCCCACCTTAATAACATCAGAGAGGTTAGAATTTTTTTTTATTTTATTAATTTTAATGAACATTTACAGATTTTGGATTTCCATTCATTCATTTTTGCACTTTTCTCCCTGCCCATCCCAGAGAAGTTAGAATTTTTAACACAGGATATTTACATTACCATGCCAAGTTGAAACAAAATATTAACCATTATAATATCTAATAAGGGAGCCCTGGCAGGTCAGTGGTAAGAAGTTGCGCTGCTGACTCAAAAGGCATGCAGTTCAAATCCACCATCTGCTCCACAGGAGAAAGGTGGGCTGCCTTCTCCCATCTTTTGTAATTGTAAAGGCTATGCAATTTATAGCCTCTGAAAAACTCACGAGAAGGTCAGCTATGAGTCATTTTCGACTTGATGGTACATAACAGTTGTTGTTGTTGTTATGTGCCGTCGAGTCGTTTCCGACTCATAGCG